GACATGACAAAACAGTGAATCTGATGACTTTTCTTAGTTTAAGAGTCTCCTTTCGGATGGCTAAACTATAACAAACGCAAAGGTGGATTTTGAGAAAAAAAAAAGCACATATTCTCATCATCCTCTCACCAGCAAAGGTGCTTTTGCAGTTAGGAGGAGAGAGGGAGAGCTGGAAAAGCATGTGTTTCTAGGACCACCAAGAGTCACTGAGCTACTCTGTTTTGTTTCATGCCGCATGCTTTAGGACCACAAAATTGAACTTTGAAAGATACCCCTGATTGGGTTTCATGGTAATCAGAGTTCCATCCGGACAAAAGGACGGAAAGGATCAATCAAGTAGTCTCCTAGCTGATATAAGCCATGATAAAGCAGAGGAGGTTTGGGCCCATATTTAAGAGCTTCTCAACAGCTAAGTGGCAGCTGTTAAAACTTGAAATACAGTATTGTGTGCACAGTAATGGAATATTATTTAATGGGAAATGACTCCTTCAATATTGCAAATAACAAGATCTAACAAGATCTAATGGGTATTTAGCACTGTAGCATTTCACAAGCGTCCCGTTTCATGAACTTGCCACATCAGCAAAAAAAGGGAAACACTTAGAAAAAATCATGTATGACACACTGTTTTTTAAAAGAAATATTGCTGCAATAATTAGCTTTGGGATTTGGAAAAGGAGGATTTTCTTTTATTGTCAAAATTTGACGATTCTTAAATCGCCTTTGTGATGTGGCACATTTTCATTTGAAAAAGCTGACACTTTTTTGAAATATCACATACTTGTCATTATAAATATATTATAATAACAAGTCAAAACACTTTAAATACCCAGTCGGCCTACATTTGCACTAAAAATATACTTTCTTTTTGTTCTTTTCAAAAAAAGGTAAAACAAAACGCTTATGAAATGAAACGTTTGTGAAATGTTACGATGCCAAACACCCTCCTACAACCCAAGCTGGACAATCAAAAAGATAAATCTCTTAGGCCTTGTTCACTTTTCGGTAAGTTACTTATCCGGGCAAATGCAATTACTTGGGTAAGTTTTTCTTGGGAAACACTTACCTGGGTAAGTGCATTTACCCATATTCTTTTATTTCTCAGGTAAATAAGGTATTGACAATTTTAGTCATAAAAATCTATTATTAAAAGGGATATTTTTGTCTCATTCAAGTGTTAGCAACTTTTCTCCTAGGTGGGAAAGTTATTTACCCACCTAGGACAGGAAAATAAAGTTTCCCTGTCCCCACATTAATCTTAAAAATGATGGTCAATGGGAACCAAAATCCCATTGACCAACTTTCCCCCTCTCAAAATCCAAAAAAAGAACGCCCCCCTAATCCCATATTCCTCTTTGTAATTATGAGTGAGATCATCACAAAGGAGTATATGTTATTTGTCAATTAAATGCCTATTTGTTTATATATATGTATATATGTATGCACAAGATTAGATCTTCTATCCACAAGATGACACAACCAAACATTGCACAAATGACCCACCAATGACAACATGTAAGTATGAAACATGTTTGAGATGTGCAACTGTAGCACCCTCAAGAAAGGCTAGAAGGGCTAGGGACAGATCAAAAAGGCTATGAATCAAAGCAATAAGAAATGATAACTTAACAACGGGCATGACACTAAACAAAATGAAATGGCGAAACAGGATTGATGCAACCGATCCCGTATAGTTGGGATAAGGCTTAGATGATGACAATGATGATGATACATAGCAACCAGTGTTAAAAACAAACCACCAAAATTCAAAAAGAAAAAAGAAGCATAGCATTCTTTTGGATTGTCAAAAGGGGAAAAATATCTTCCATCCATGTGTGTCATCCCATTAGATGGTTATGATCATTGAATGGGCCCGTGCCTGATTTAAAAGATCTCCTTGCGGATTGGAATCAACCCACTTGACTGTTTTTTTTTTTCTCCTTTTCTTTCTTTGAAAACCATTTTGGTATTATCTATATATTTGGCATATATACTTCAGTCCACCAATGGGGTTTCGGAATGGTTCAAGGGTTTGATGGTTTCAGTTGAATTGGATGGTTGTCTGCTATTTGAATGGCTTAAGATATACAGAAGTTGATGAATATTATATTAAAAGAAGAAACTGGTGCAGGTTTTCTGCAGGTTCATTTCAATGGAGGACAACAAAAACAAGAGAGTTGTTCGTTCAGTGGTCTTGTTTACATCTTGGGCTTCTCTTTCTTTCATTTCTTTACTTAATTTAGTAGGGTTTAGATAGAAAGGAAGCTTCAAATATAGAATCTGGGTTGGAACAGACTAATAACAGCAATCAACCTTGTTAGGGCTGTGAGCATGGGGCCTTTCTTTTTGACATTGTAGGGAAGGACACAAGTTGTGTACTCCACATGGTTTACAGGATGAGGGTTAATTTGTATGAGCATTGTACTAGTGTTTGTCAGCTTAGTAGCTGTGGAGGTTGTCTTCCATGTTCACTCAACCTTTGCCTTTTGAGGAAAATTAACAGTGATCACAAGTGGGCTGTGGACCTATCTCTGCTGCACCTCCTCTTCAGGCTCACTTGGCAACAGAGAATATGTTTCATCACTTGGACACTTAGCTCAACTAGTAAATAATAACCCAAGAGAGAGAGAGAGAGAGGGAGAGGGGTTAAGGGTTGATAGATTGCTAATCTTAAATGCTTATAGAGCGCGTAGCCCTTACAGCACTTCCTAAATTAGACACATGTCCTCTCTGGCCTCAGAACACCTATTCCCTCTTCTGGCGGGTGTCAAGTTTTAATTGGTAGAAGATGGTTTATATTCTCTCCTTTCCATGTGCTGACTGCTGTGTAACGCGTCTCTCTGTCCCTTCTGTTTACGCGTCCTTAACAAAACAGTGTTGTTTTCAAGGGGCCCACGTCATCAGAATAATGAGCTGCAGATCCCACCACAGAATGCAATCATACCTTCAAGATCAACAAGATCTGATTAATTGCTTATCATGTATTTTTCATGCATTCTGCTGGGACGAATAGAAATATTTACTAAAGCTCCGAAATCACCTATCTATATACCTACAAATTGCGCTGACTTTTGCTGCACGGATTTCATTGGTGGGACCTCTTCAATGGAACATGGCAGTGTACATCTCACCGTGCATTGATAACATCTCCTATACTTTGATTCATGGGAGATGCTCTCGTTATACGGTTGAGATGTGTTGTGGGTAAGACATTTATCTGGACAAGTGTTTTCTGGATAAAATCTGTACAGATAAGTAATATTAAGGAGAGGTAGGACGGAGAGAGCGTTATCAGTGCACTGATAAATTGTTTACCCACCTTCTAGGAGAGCTCTCCAGTATTTCGATTTACCGTGAGAGAATGAAAGCGAGGGTTATGATCAATTTACTGATTGTCCAACTTATCACCCACTAAATACCAGCAAAAGAATAGAGTCTTAAAGGGTCTCTACGCCTCCGGCTTATTATAAGGAGGCCCAATAATGCCAGGGCTATTATTCCTTGCCCTTACCAATGAGAATAACCCAATAACATTATCACCATCATCTATCTAAGCCTTGTCCCAACTATATGGAGTTGTTTATATAAATCAAGTTTTATCGTTTGGTTGTGTTAATAATACAAAAAGATAAATTAGGATCTATTACTACGAGAATTTAGCAAAAGTTTTAGTATCCCCAGCCAATCTAATGCAACCCTCCTTTATCTAGATTCTGAACCAGTCAGTGTAAAGCAAACTCACACTAGCTAGTTGAGAACAACTCAATTACATTGATCAAAATTGACCTTTATTTCTGAAATCTTACTGTTGAGAGAGAGAGAAAGAGAGAGACAGAGATGGTGCCTTGAGAAAATAAATAATCAAATCAAAAGAGGGGTTGGCCGGTTTGTCTGAGTAATGTTTTCACTATTTAAAGATGGGTTCTTATCCTTTGGTCGGTAGCACTAGGAGGGGATCGAACTCCATGAAAATAAAATTCACTTAACCATATCTGTTTGACACAAATGACTCTTAACCCCTCCTTTATCATAATAAAGTAGAAAATATAGTACCCAACCTAACCCTTTTACAGTTTTAGTATGTCATCATGCTGCCTTCTGTATTATTTTACAGGTCACCCAGAGTCAGTTAGGGTGCCCATCCTTCACTCTATCTCCCTATCTACCCTATCTGCTGGAACTCTCTTCCCTTTTTCTAATCCCATTGATAAAACAGCTCACATTCAAATTGTCACTTTATATACTTAGAGTCTGGCTATGGCTAGACCTACCCTGACAGCCTGACTCCATGCATCCTAATTCAGTATATATCTTCTTCTATAAATAAGCCGGTTCAAGTGTTCCCTGAACCAACCCAAACCCAAATAGACCTGGGGCTTGATCAACCAAGAGTGAAGAACCAACCCATTTCCATTAACATTTGAATGACATGAGTTAATGGGTGCTTGAGTAATTCGAAGAGAGAGGTTTTCAATGGGTGTTTGATGTCTCTTAATTCCCTTGGAACACAAAAATCAACCAGACTAGACATTCACGGATAAAATGTATGAACGGAAGTTTGCTTTAAGGAAGGAAAAATGTGGAGGGAGAAGCAAAGCAATCGCTTTCAAGAAATATTCGGAGAATCCTTGGTTTTCTGTTGGTTTTGTTGGCTTTCTTTTGGAAGGGAAGGAGAAACAGAATAGAAAAGCTGTTTGTTTTTTGATCAAACTTAAATCCTTCTGCCTCCTCTCTCTCTCTCTCTCTCTAACACCCCAACAAATCCATTTTCTCTTCACATGAGATAATGAGCAGAGAAGAGACTGATGAAAAGTCATTTTAGTTTTTACCAACAAACATCAAAATGGAAAATCAGTTTTTCTTTCTGCTCAACTTTTGTTGATTTTCCTTTTCTTTTTCTCTTTTTAATGTGTGGTAGAGTAGAAGTCGTATATTTCTAGTGGCGTCAAAAGATGCCCCCCCCCNCCCTCCCCTTTCCCCTCTACGTTCTATACCCACCCTATGGGTCACTTTTCTGGACTACAAATTTACATCCACCCCTCGCTTATCTCTCATGTTCTCTCAATTTTCTTTCTCTCCTTCTCCTCCTCTTACTCCTCTCTTCCTCCAAACCTTCTCTTTCTCTCTCTCTTTGTAATTTGTACTCATCTCCTCAAACCACAACCTCTCTTTCTCTCTTCACTCAAAGCCCAACTCCTCTGCTTTTTTTTTTGCTCTGTTTCAACCCACTTTTGTGGGTTTGCTTTCTTGTAAAAATTTTGTATTCTTCTCTCGGCGACCATCCTAGTTATGTCGTCGACCGTGTGCCAAGGGCTGCAGTCATGTCTCGAACACTGGCTCGTCGAGCCACGAGCCAAGGGGCTCAAACTGGCACCACCCAGAGCATACTTCACCCAAGCCGCCCGGACTCGGAGGCCTTCTGTGTCAGCTTTAGACACCGAGGACCATGACGAACAATGTAATAATAAGAAAAGCAACAACGACAACACCAGCATTTACGACGATCAGCGTGACAACAACAGCCACGACAAGGACAACGTCAGCGGCACCCATCCCATCAGCTCAAATTGTGACTTGGGCAACTGGAGCTTCATCCAAGCTCTCGCCCATACCTCTGAAACTACTCTGGAAGCAAAGGAGAAGGAAACCCACTACGTCCATCCTCTCATTAAGCGTTCTTCGTCCACGCTCAGTGAGAAGAGCCTGGAGTTGTGCACTGAGAGTCTGGGTTCCGAGACTGGTACCGACATTACCGAATACAACAGTTTCTTGTCATCCTCATCGGACACTGAAGGTGCTAAGCCCCCGCCGACGGAGGAGCCGAGATCAAGGCAGCTTTTTGAGGTTAGGAAACAGAGTTGCCACAATTTTCCACCACCATTGACGTCCATTAGCGGCACCAATTGTGTTCACTTCAAGCCTCACAGAGAAGGTGGCAGGTTGGTGATCAAAGCCATCACTGTCCCTTCCCCACGCACTTGTTTTCAAGCCGAACGGAGTGATGGCCGCCTCAGGCTCCATTTTGTGAAGAATTGTCGTCCCACTTTTGACGCCAGAGCCGCCGAGGAAGAATTCCAAGGAAACAATGAAGAAGAAGATGCAGAAGAAGAAGAAGAAGAAGAAGAAGAAGAAGAAGAAGAAGTAGATGTTGAAGAAGAAGAAGAAGAAGAAGAGGAAGAAGAAGAAGAAGAAGAAGAATGTGATTTGAATCTGAGTGAGGAGTTATATGGTAATAATGGAAATGTTGGGAGTGAAATGGGAATTGGAAACTTTCAAAGGCCGAGCAGGTGCAAAGAAGGTGGGAGAGGCAACAAACTATTATTGATTCGAGAGGCTTGCTGGGTTGCTACGTCCTAAACCTCTCTCTCTCCTCTCTCCTCTCTCCTCCCTCCTCTCTCTCTCTGTCTCTCTCTCTCAAAATATAAAGATTTACTATATTCTTATTTGTTTTCTTTTATTTTCCTTCCCACTGTTATATTTTGAATCTACCCTATCATGGTCATGTGAAGAATATGCTAATGGTAGTTATTATCGTTATTGGACATTTCCTTCTTTTTCTTCTCCTCCGTGCATGTTAGCATGCTTGCTTGGCTTTTGTCACGATTCCTAAAATGCCCTTCAAGGACAGAAATAAGTACAAATACATACTAATTAAATGGACATACGGACTTTTGTACCTAATAAGAAATCACATGGGAAAATAACAGAAAATCTAAACTCTTTCCACCATTTGTAGCTTTGTTTGGACGATTTGTGAAATGAAATCGTTTCCTTTTGATAATGGAATCATTCATGGCTGTTTATAAGATGTTTGGACTGATATCGTTTCAGGGTTTCAACAAGTAAACTCATTTCCTTTTTTTTTTTTATGTAAAAAAAAAAACTAGGAATCTAAAGTGAAATTGTCCCACTTTTTGTGGTGCCCACGAGAGCTTCAGGAAATGATGAGAAGCTTGGCCTAAGTCACTAGCTCATAGTTGGGAATTCGACCTTGAAAAGATTGAATTAGAAGAAGTTCAGAGAATCAACTAAAGAAAAAAGGTTGAAATAGTAAAATAAACAGTAGTTATAATAGAAATAATAATGATAATGCAAATTCTTTGGTACAGATAAAGCTTTCTTGTTTATAGTTCAAAGATGATGACTTAGACGTGTAACAGTACAAAATGAGCACATGTGTTCTTTTTCTACTTTTTCTTTTCAACATGGCAACCTGAGTCAAGTAGCTCTCTGCCACATCAGAAATGGGCCATTTTGCCTTTACATTGGTTTGAACGAAAAAGGGAGTGATTTGGGCACACCCCATTTTTGATAAATCAGGTACACCCGTAGTTCAAAAAAACAGATAAAAAACCATTGATATTTATGAAAAAAAAGGCAAATTATGAGAGTTGGGTTGTTTATTTTATGTACTTTTCCACACTGAATGATGATGGCAGTTGACAGGTGTGTCCACTTATCAAAATGGGATGTGCCCAAATCAGTTCTAGCTAGCTGAAAAGGAAGAAAGATACCCAGGAAAATCTAAAGCTATCTATCCCCTGTCCGTGAAAACAGAGAGGAATAGACGGGGGATAGAGCTTAGGAAGAAAAGGACATCTAAAATGCGGTTGATTCAGAGGATCCCCCATTGGATGGTTGGGTTTGCAGTTTGGATCTGGAATGTCAGTGCTCCATGTGACAGAAAACCCCTGTCCAACACTTCAGAGCCCACAATGACAGAACCCTTTTTTTTTTTTTTTTGAAGAAATTTTATTCAACTGAATTGTCATTTGTCATGTATGTTAATAAGGCTGCATTTGGCATTTTTTGTTATAAGAACTTATCCTCTTGCAGTTAAAATCTCAGTTTTCATACTGTAAAAAGGAGATAAGTCTTTAAAATCAGAAATACCAAAGGCAGCCTAAGCAATTTTTTTACTATTATTAGGTTAATCGTTTAACGGGCCATTGCTTAGGCCTTGTTATTTTGCCGGGGACAAGAAAAGCATTTTAGTCCCACAACAGTTTAGGTCGTTCCATAGCAAAGTGATTTATTCTCCTCAGAGAAAGGTAATCCATTAATATTATAAAAAACCCCCTAATATTATATACTAGAGAAAGTGGCCCAAAAATTTATCAAAGGAAAAATGCATTTTTAGTGAGCCCTATAATTCTTTGGACGTGGGAAAATTGGTCAACTTCCTTTTTGATCTCCTCTTGCTCTAGACAAAAGAACAAGGCTTTGATGATAAAAACTTAGATTGTCAAGTGTAAGAGACCGGATTCGAAATGTATCAAATTCACTCCCCGACCCCAATCCCTGCCAGAAAAAAAAAAAAGAATGTCCTCCATCCCCGGATTTCCTATGGAGATGTGTTTCCAACGAGGACTTGAATCTCCTGAATATTAATTAACGGTATTTTCTGAAAAATAAATTTACTTAAAATAAAGAAAAACTTTAAAATATAAATAATATAAGTCAAGGCGGGGCATGGATTTCATCCCCATCCCCGACCTTGACTTCATCAGATCGAGGAGGTCGGATACCCAATGGGAATAGAGAAAATTGCCATCCATATCTTTTAGTAGATTAATCAATTAAGGGACACTTAATAATAGCTTAAGTTGCTAAATTGATAAAGTTGTGAGCTCCTTAATGGCTAAATTGATGAAGTTCCATGAATATTTTACCATTTGGTTGTTTTAGGGAAATTTTAGTATCATAAACTTTGGGGGAAGTGTCAAGTCAGTACCAAAACTTAAAAAATGTGTCACTGCATTACCCAAACTTTCGAAAACTGTCAAATTGGTCCAAAATCATTAACTGACGTTAACGAACAAGTGTAATGACACAAATAGCCCTTTGCAGTTCGAAGAAGAGAGATAATCACTGTTCGTGCTTAAACCCTTATATCGAGAATCACACTATTCATTCCAAGCATCTATTCGAAGTTGTAGCATTCGCCGCTGGCGGGTTTGCTTGGGAAATCGATGTCGGAGATGACTTATATGATGATTGAAGTCACCGACGACGATCAGAAAATGATATTTATACCGTGTACATTTAGGGTTTTTGCTTGAGTCCATGTCCTTTCGCGCATCTCCTCATCAGAAAAACCTAGATCTCATGATTCTGATGGCTTTCAAATTTGCACATTCTGGCATCCACCCTGGGGGACACTTGTTTCGCCCATGGACGCTTTTAGCCTTCATTCAATGTTGTATCAACATCTCCCCCTTTTTTTATCATTCAACCCTTCCTTTACTTACTCTTCCTCTGTAATTTCTTCTCCTTCCCTCCTCGTTTACTCTTACCCTTTGTCATCGTCTTTCCAAGTACCCTTTTAGGGGGCATTCTTTTTCTGGATTTTGAGAGGGGGAAAGTTGGTCAATGGGATTTTGATTCCCATTGACCAAGAATCCCATGTTCTTTTTTCAGATTTATGTGGGGAACAGAGAAAGTTTATTTTCCTAGGTATCACTTACTCGTGATACCCATCTCCTAGGTGGATAAATAACTTTCCCACCTGGGGGAAATTGCCAACACTTGAATGAGACAAAAATGTCCCTTTTAATAATGAATTTTTATAGCTAAAGTGGCCATTGCCTTATTTACATGAAAAATAAAAGAACATGGGTAAATACACTTATCCGGATAAATATTTTCTTGAAAACACTTATCTAAGTAAATACATTACCCGAATAAGTAACTTACCAAAAAGCAAATGGGGCCTTAATTGAATTAAGGAAGAATAACTTGTAAGTATATTATTTGAAATTGTTCCAAGCTGAACTTTATTTCTTCTGGGTTTTATTGGCTTATAGGTAAAACCAGAAATGGAATGTGTTGTGTTGGAGCGAGGGTGTTGAAAATCAGTTTATTGCCGCAGATGGCTTTGAAATTGAACCAACAAGTGTCTATGACGAGTGGTATGTTAATGGCACAAATGGTGTTGCATTGTAGACGACCTTTTTGACTTCTCTAATGGGATGGAGCAACAGAAACAATTGAATTCAGAGCTCAATAGCTGGCATAGGAGAGCATAAGAACCCTATAAAAGAAAAAAAAAAAACTATACATCCTATACTTGATCGCTCCATATGCATCTTAGATGACACTAAAAGAATACAACTATATATTAAGAATCAGACCCTATATACTATATAATCAATTAAATATGCTGGTAGAAGGACGAAAGCCTCAAAGACGAATTCAAGAGGGAAAGAAGTTGGTAAGGTTGGCAAGCTCCTCCTTGAACAGATGACGCCCGCGCTAACACAATCTCTCCCTCTCTTGTGTGTATCCTCCTCCCTCCTCTCTGAAATGCCGGATCTGAAAACCGATATAATAATGATCATCGTTAATCTAAAAACGGACATAACACATAAAGGGTAATTTTGACATTTGAAAATTTTTAACCGTCACATATTATCATGTGACGAGATAACGGATATAATATTAATGGCAGGGATCAACTTGACAGTTTTCGAAAATTTAAATTCATAATAATTTAACATTACCCCTAAACTTTAGGGTATTAAATTAAAATTTTCTTATTATTGTATTTATCCAAATTCCAAAATACAAAGCAATAAAGCATTCACTTCAACCGCTTCTGTTAACATAACAAAAAATATCACTTAATTTGGGCTGTTGAAAGTGGATTAAGAATTAATAACGAAGACAAACGAACCGTTGATTGTGATTTTAGGGAAAGAAAAGTTGGCAGTTGGGAAATTTTCAGGATATCTTTTTGGGCGAGCAAAAAGGAACGCAAGTTGGGATGTACCTAGGCGTACGTTTGAGCGGGCAGTAGCTTTCAAGGGTGGGCCCCCCCCCACACACACACTCAACAACAAGCACTGACCCAATCGCAGGCCATCGACCGTGCGCTCCATGTGCGCGCTTTCCACTTGTAGCATATTATCATCAACCCGTCATATTTATGGACAAGCCAGTGCCAGCGCCCATGTTCCCATCCACCCATTTACGCACACTTCTCCCTTTTTTTTTTTCTTGTTTATGAAAGACATCTTCTGTGTTTGCCTTGTAAATTTTCTAATTTTCATACTCTCTCCAAGCATCAAGACAACTTGTCTTATTGATTGCTGTGTTTTGGAAGCCATTTGGTGATTTCAATTAGTAGGAAGAGAATTACAGTTCTTCTGCACTGTGGGGACATTTTTGGCATTACAAGTCTTGAAAGGTTTGGTGGTTCAGTCATGGATGAAGAGGCAGTATTACTTCAAAATAAGGAAGGAGTGTTAATCATGGAGTTAGGGCTTACATTCATTTATACTTTGTTTGGTTTGAAGGAAAATGTAAGGAAAGGAAGGGAAAGGTAAAAAATTCTTTACAAACCTTGTATAGATTTTCCTGTCTTTCCCTTCCTTTCCTTACCTTTTCCTTCAAACCAAATATAGCCCTAGGATTTAGGTGGTGTAAGTGTGTGTGATGGTGGGGGTTCACTTTTGTTACAATAATATCCTGTCTTTCCCACCAAGACATCACTTCATCTAATTTAAGGTTGAATCATGATGATACATCAAAGGTTTTGATT